TTTATATTATTTTTCAGTAATGTTATTTGTTTTTCATGTACCTACCATTTTAAGATTCATAATCATAACTAACTTTTTCTAATTATCAGTTCGTCATTGTTACCATATTCATGATGGTCTCAACATTAGAAAATTTCCATTTCAGAAGCGTATTATTTGAACAATATAAAATGTGTAGCTTTTTTTTAATGCTTCTGATATTGTTTTGTGATATTTTTATTTGTACGATGAATGGCAAAATTCGTAATCCATATTAGAAACTTTTTTCAGTGGCTTCTCAAAAAGAAAGAAATTCTTAGTAAAAGTTGCCGCATCCCCAAACTAGAAGAGCATATTTATTTTTTTTAATATACAATGTAACTTTTTTTAGTTCGAATTAAGTCATTCACAATACAAATAAAAATATCACAAAGGAGTATTAGAGATATTTAAAAAAATACTCACACTATTTATACTATTTCAAAAACGCTTTTGAAATGAAAATGATCTAAAGTTGAGAGCATTATGAGAACAATATGGTAATAAAATTATTATGTTACTCAAACATTTCTGAAAATATACTGAAACGTAAAACAAAAATATCGAGGGCATAAATGGAACATAAAAAGAATGTTACTGAAACCAATTTTTTGAAACGTTTCATTGGAAACGTATTTTGGGGTGGACATCTTGGGCTTCTAGAACGTTACCAGAACGTTGCATGAATTTTTTATGAAACGTTTCAAGAAAAATGGAAATGTTTCTGAAACATGTCAGAAACTGAAAAATGTTTAGTGGGTTCTTTAATATGACAGCAGTGTGGAATCTACCTACTTATTGCAGATATTTTGTTAGGGTTAATCAAAATCTACTTATGGCTAAAAGATATTTCCCTCATTGTGGATACCCCATATTGGTATCACTGTTGCTAAAATAGCAAGTATTTAGGCGCGATATACGCTCAGTTTTTACAATTAAGTATATCATTTCCAACATTTTCAAGAACGCGAAATGTTGATCTCCTTGGAATGGCCATAGGAAAAGATTTTCCACAACATTTTCCACAGATTTCAAGAGTCCCTGCAGAAGAAAGTGATGGTGTCTCGAAACATCGAAGTAACCAGCTCGGAAATCATCCAACAAGAACACACCGCTCAACAGGAATCCATCCCGCGACAGAGACCCGGTCCTGCAATATAATATTAGCCTTATAACTTAACTAGCATAGCGATGCGCTCATTTAAGCCTCTCCTATTTTTAGCGACTCGCCACAGTCGCCTCTCGTCTCCGTGCAAATTGAATTTCCGCTGAATATTCGGCTCCTACATACCGCGTTTTGTGTTATCCCCATTATCCCAAATCGAGACAATCCTTGGAATCGCCAGCAATTTCGTGTACGCGGGTGTGCCTTGTAATGTCCGAGGAATCCGGCGAGTGCGATATCTGCCAGAAGCCGGCCAGCCAGAAGTGCGGAGCATGCCACAGCGTGTTCTACTGCTGCAAGGAGCACCAGAAGTCAGGCTGGAAGACCCATAAGAAAGTCTGCCGGCCTTTTAAGGTAGCTTGGAGTTTTGGTTCTGTAGAACATAGTCATTTTGTAGCAAGGTTATGGTGTGACATACGTTGACAGTAACATACATGTGTGCAATGTATTACTTGCAGGGATTATCTGATTCTTGAACGCAGGACCGCATTCAGCCATATGTCGGCTTATGTTTGTACAATATTTTTAAACAATCGTTGCGGATTGTGAATGTCTATTTGGAATAAAAAATATTCTGTCAAAGGAGTGGTTAAACAATTTTTTCCTAGTTTTTTATTTTTTTGCAGTACTACAGATTTTTACCCTAGCAAACATTTTTATTGCGGTCATCTTGGGCTGACGAATGTCACTTTTTACTTCAAATGACTGACTTTTTACAAATAATAAGTGTTTTTTTGTCGTAACTATGTGCAGTTCATTTATAAAACCTCTAAAAATAATACAGGGTGTCTCGCGGTGACGGCCCATTAGAATCAACTAAAATAATGGCGTCCACGTACCACTTCCGGTTATACCGGAAGTCGCCGTCAACTTCCTTATTTTAAATGGAACACCCTATATGTTATTGCAATTTTGGATTCTACGTGTTATTTTAGGTGGACTTTTATGAAGTTTCACTATTCCTAAAATTAACCGTTTTCGAGATATTTAATTTTAAACCCCTAAGCTTCCCATCCATACTTTCAAAGTGGTTTAATTGCATACAGGGTGTTAGAAATTTAATGCCGAGTTTAGTTAACTTCAAACCTTCATAAGTCGGTTTTTTAAATGGAACATCCTGTATGTTTTTCTATATTCTGATACACAATTTTATTCTCTTTCGAACGGTATCAAGTTTTGCTAAAAATTCCACAGCTATCCTCGCAAGAAATTACATGATTTTATGTGATTACATAAAAAATAGTAGATAACTTCAAAAGTAGAAGAGATAGGTATAGGGAACCCTGATATCGTTTGAAAGAGAATAAAATTGTTTATCAGAATATAGAAAAATATAAAGAGTGTTCCATTAAAAAAAAACAACTTATGAAGGTTTGAAGTTAACTAAACTCGGCATTAAATTTCTAGCACCCTGTACGCAATTAAGCCACTTTGAAAGTATGGATGGGAAGCTTAGGGGTCTAGCTATCCACCCTATAAATATTGTTGCTCTATCTTTCTTACTATAAGATACACATGGTTTGAAGCTAGTCACTGTTTCTCTTCATTTTTTTGAAAAAAATTCAATATCTCCAAAACGATTAATTTTAGGAATAGGGAAAATTCATAAAAATCCACCTAAAATAACACGTAGAATTCAAAATTACAATAATATATAGGGTGTTCCATTTAAAATAAGCAAGTTGATGGCGACTTCCGGTATAACCGGAAGTGGCACGTGGACGCCATTATTTTAGTTGAGAAGGGCATGCCTGAAAACCAGGTATCCGAAATTTTCAAAATTCAAATCGAAGTAGTCTCTGAACTAATTCTAACACCCTGTATATGTTAGGTATGTTTTATCATCTTTTTTCCATATTTTCTATATCTTGTTGCCTTTTAAACTGATACGCCTATGGATTTTCGATCTCCGTACGCTTCATCCTGCTTACTAGTCCAAGAGCTAGCGACGAGTCACTCTCCATAATTTCGACCGCGGAGTATAGATTTAAATGTTGGAAATGAATAAAATTCCTTAATATGTATTATTTTCTCCTGTGGAATATTGCTCAGCTATTCGTAGAATATTGTGAGTAAGCGAGTATTTCTTTCAGGTAAATATTGGTATCTAAAATTATACTTCAATAAATTTACTTACAAGCATATGTTTGAAACGATTAATTGGTTCTTTGTAATGTAATTAAAACAAACTTTAATAATTTCATGAAAAATAATAACTCACAGTTTACTTCCTGTTGTATAAACAGCGTAATTTTGTAGAAATGCCTTGAACAAAAACTCCTGATGTACATACTTAAAACCTAATTAATATCTAGCATCAATGGGCTATCCCAGATTTATTTCTCGGTACAATCCTGCTCTAATAAATATTATCTCTGTTAATAGGGTAACTTCAAAAGGAATTTGTGTTTATGTTTACACATAATATGTAGTAAAATTTGGATAGATTGTAATCATTTTTAAATAACAGTATAGCATGCTGTTAATATGGTGTTGACAACATTGTTTTACATTAATGAATCAATACTTTGATATGAATTATCAGCATATTTCCAGAATTTCATTTTTATTTCTCTTTTCCCATACATCGGAGCCATCGTAATTAGTATAGTACCGTAAACCGGGGTTACATTGGACATCAGGGTGGGATTGGCTATTTTGTAGTTCCCACTTAAAAAAAAACTAATTCGGGTTGTGGGAGGGGATATATCGGTTGCGCCGCTGACCACATGTTTATTAAGGCATGTGAAGTTAACGTGGGTGTTTGTCTTTACTTTAAATTTTTTGCGACGATTGATTTTGAGTATTGTCTAACAGGTAAGAAATGTTTATACTTTTAAGAACCGATAAACTTTATACTACAGTTATGTAGTACTAATGACTGAAGTATAAATTGTATAAAAATAATATAACCTATAGATCCTGCTATTAGGTTGTGCAAGTTTCAAAATTTTATCTTTTATGGTTTTTGTATAATTAAATAAAATTGTCAACGACATTTTTTTAGGGGTGAGATTGGCCATGGTGCAAACATATAAAAAACGTTAGGAACCAGGCCCTATGCGAATTACCAACTAAAATATATGGATGAAGAAATTCAACAGGTCCAGGATATGGAAAATTCGTCGTGGGTAATAAGAGCAATCATTTAAAATTTGTTGCCAAAGTTTTAGAATGCACATCTCACCTCTCAAAATACAAATGTAAAAATTAAAGCAGATTTTGAGATCTATAGATACAAAAAATGACACATTTATTTATCCTGTAGCTTACTACATATCTTAATATCGCTACAGTTGATATGGAACAAATTGTATAAAAATTAGAGAATCCTAAGGAACTAAGAAGGGAACACTTCAGATTTAATAATCTGTTTTTTAACTGCCTTAAGGTGATGTTAGGATAAACCCTAAAGTTTTATAGTTTTTTATAGAACATATTTATTTTTTTATATTTATTTAGGCAAACACAGTGTCATGTTGTCTTCAACTCGCCCCGAAGTGCGGGGCGAGTTGGGACAACAAAAATCCAAAAAAATATACATTTCAGCATCATCAATTGTAAAATTTCATGATGTCTATGTATTCGTTATGTATCAATTGCAATGCACAAAAAGCAAAGAAATAATAAAAACTATTATTAACGAAAATATTGATGTGTTTACCTCAAAATTGTCCAATGTCACCCCGGTTTACTGCACTATTTTAAAAATAAAACTATATTGTTATCTCTATTATGATATCACCAAATTAAGATAATAAATTGATATGACGAATTAATATCTTTACATCTTATTGATTTTAATAAAACAATTAGCCTACCCGGTTCTTTAAAAATGTTTCTTGTCTTGTCTCCAAATGTGAATATAATTTTTTGCAGTGGTAAAACAACAACGATCACAGTAGTGCTATCTACATAATGGCGTCAATATTTAATTTAATACGGTCTAAATAAATACTGATTAAATAATATAAACATATTTTTATCAGAATTGGTGATATATCCTGGCTTTTGTTTGCTTACCAGTCAGCGTATCGAATGTAATGTGAGTAGAAATATGTAGCCTAGTTACTAAAAATCATGTGCAAGTAAAAAAGTGCTTCTGTGGATATTTTGAGAATGGATGTTTTAAGGTTTGGAGCTAAGGTAATACGATATTAAAATAATTGTCGATATTTCCTTGTTTTTGATTTACACGTCAAAGTAAGAGAAAAAGTTTGTACAAACATCGGCTTCGTTGTCGAAATACAGTGTTGAAATAAAGAAAAAGTCACTTTTGTTTAAATAGGTCTTAAAATGTTTGACATAGATTGATAACCTGACCATAGTCAGATGAAAATTTTCACGCAACACTAGAAAGTAATTTTCAGCATAGGTTTTCTGTAAACGTGCGGTGTGGTATGATAGCTGTTTAATTGGCTCTTTCATTTTGGAGAATCGATTCACAGGAGACCACTACCTAATATTTTTACAAAATGAATTACAAGTACTACTAGAGGATGCTCCTAAACATGCAAATGAGAATGTACTTCTAGCACTATGGAGCTTCTACACATTTCGCTTGTACAATCAAGCTACATTTGAACAAGAGGTTTCCAGGTCGTTGGATTGGCCGCGATGGTATTAGTTCCAAGATCTGCAGACCTCACAGCATTAGATTACTGTTTATGGGGCTGGTTCAAAAATGAAGTGTACAAAGTTAGAGTGAACACTCGGGAGGCACTAATTCGACGTATAATAATGCAGCACTAATGAAAGAAAGACATGCAGCAATCAGGAGAGCTACAGATGCTTTTGAACATTTAATCAAAAAAGCTATGGTTAAGAGAATAATAATAATTTTTTTATTGAAATGTAGGTAGGTCATAGCTTGAAAACAAATGAAAATCGCATAACTATATTCGAGTTTTTTACATCAGAGGCATCGCCTTAATCAGTATCATTGATATAGTATCACATTTTAGGTGTATATACATCCGCAAATACTTTAAGGACTCAATTAGTTCCTTCACTCCGCCTTTACTTTTAAGACTGTTGACTTATTCTGTCTGATTATAATGGGCGTAAAGTGTATAATTGAATCTGTGAAATGTTTGGGAAACAAGTTCGCAAAACTACATTTTCTGCGAGATTGAGGGAAAAATACTTCACAATCACTAGGTATTCATTTGGGATTGGCACTGATAATGATTTTCCTTCAAGATTAGCTGGAAAAAATAAGATATCTATCTACAAATGCTTAAAAAAATGTAATTGCAAAATAATATGATATACGTTGCACTTACATAGAAAACATCAATTAACCAAAGTTATACATAGAAGTAATTATTTTTTATTCTAGGTTACAAAGTCTCGCTTTTGTAATTAAGAATGGGAAGTGTGATCACCGACTGCGTTTTGGCAGATGGTTTTTACGACAATGTGCCATTCAAGTAGACAACAACAATGCATTTAAAATAGCAATTACTATTAATTATTATAATAAGAAAATTTCAGTTTTTTTAAATAGCTATTTTTCTTAGTTTCTACTTTTGAATTGAAAAATTCCCCAAAAATTGAGAAGTATCTTTCTATCTTTCAACGACGATTTGTTTACGCGGCTAGTCTGCAGCACGTAATTCATCGTACAACACACGGATAGGACCATTCCAGAGAAAATATTTTGATCCTGTAGTATAACAACCCTAGGTTCGACAAAAAATAAGTAAACGTAGTTGTGGCCAAAAATATGTGATCGTCATAAAGACTACCTACGTTGTGTGCATCCATTTTTAATTGACCGGAAGGCGCTGGCTACTAACTTTGTAGAGGGGATGTATGGTTTAATTATATAAAACAAAAGCAGAGTAAATACACCTAACCTTTATTTACATACAATTCAAATTAAACATGTGACAAATAGAAAGAACAACAAAAACATTAACAACCATTTAACATAAAATGAGAGTGCCAGGCTCACCTAGAGCTCCTGTGGGGAAAGAGCATGGCAGAGAAACCCACGATCGTTGCTCTAACTACCCAAATATAAATACAAAACAACCGCTAACAAAAGGCATAAATTAGGATCCTTTGCTAATGATAATTAACGCCCGACTCATTTAATGTGTCACTAAATGTCACCTCACTCGAATTAGACATACACACTTCCAAGTAAAACTGAAGAGGTTTGGTGTTAGTTAGCCGGCAGGGCCGGAAGGTACTGGAGTCCCATACGGGAGGCAATCCAGCTATGAGTTGAGATTTCGGAAGATCTGTTTTAGCAATTCTTTTTTTGTATTTAATTATTCTTTTTACAGATTCATTCCTCACGGGCGAAAATGTTAGTAAATTCAACAAGGCTCTTATATGCGTATGACATAAAGTGAGCACAAGAAATGCTTTATTATTTGTTTTTCGAACAACGTAATCATGATAAAACAAGTTAAATGTGAAACAAAGGAGTTGTTATTGCAATATCTGGGCAGTCACGACAATATATATATTTTAACATGAAATAAATAATGAGCAATCGTTAATAATAATTATAACAATTTTACCTTAGAAAAATATATGCCCTTGAGCATAAAGCAATGGAAGCTAAACATACAAAGAATTATTATCATGAAACATCTATAACCATCACAATCATAAGATTACATAGAACAATTAACAACAAAGTACTTAAAGAATATTACCTGCTAACTAATACCGGTTAAACACTTAATTTTACACTACTTTGTCACACTGCCCGCCGATCGTCTTGCTACCTATCTGCACACTGTTCTCACTTCAACTGCCTATCTTCAACTATTTAGGCTTCCTTCCAGAATTTCCTACCTAAGTGCCTGTTTTTTGTGCTTCCTTCTATCGACCGTTAATATTACTTTTTCATTGTTATACAACACCTATGTAACAGGTGACGTCGAAGTTGATAAGATAAGTACGGTTTTGCACAATCCATAATTGAATTTTAGTTTACGAAAAAAAAACGCAAAAATAGAACTTTTGCTTATAAGATTTTTCTATTACAAATACCGTTAGGAAGCTGTAGTACGCCACACCCTGTATAGAGATAATCAATAACCATATACAGGGTGTCACATCACGAATGTTACATACTTCAATGGTATAATCCCAAATGCTGTCGGTTTAACCAAACTAGCTTAAATGAAAAATGTCTCGAAAAAAGTTAGGATGTTAAAATTTCTTTTTTTATTTCTTATTTTCTCCTTAACTCAAAATCCAAGTAACCGATTTGAGCTAAATTTACTGTTGCTTAGTTTCTCTTCATGAAGAATGCAGTGATTATGTTCCTATTAGCTTAAATCATATAGGACGTTCATTTTACTACAACCCTTTGTAAATATTCTTCTGTAACATTTTTGTACGTTTAAATTTTTACACGCAACTATCAGAAATAGGTATGTGACACCATTTATAATCATGCAGTGAGAATATTAGAAATCTCCTGGATATTGCTAATTAATACGTAATTAAACATTAAAGTTTGCCCACAAAATGTTTGAATAGATATTTGCTGTCACCCACTCGTGATGTCATTTAGTGCGATCAGCATAAACATAGTCTAGAGACAACCTAATTTAGTTCCATTCGGGGCTTGCCTGTTTCTTTAGATTAAGTTCCGTCTCTTCGTCATAGGAACTGTAGACGACAGATGGACGAGAAGTAGGTTGTGTTTTCGGGCGAACTGAATGACGTCGCAAGGCGTTCCTGATTTTAATTTTTTAAGTAATTTTAAACTATAAAATCTATAAATAAGTTGTAGCATTAAAGAAATTAATTCTCTGACCAATGCCAATTGTTGTCGGTTACAGATTACAAATTTATGCACTTTTAAATTGAATTTTCTTGAATGTTGTCCATTATATGTTTTTTTCATTCATGGTAGAAAAGAATTACTAAATACGACAGTATAAGATACAGAAGACGAAGTTATTTGGTTATCATTAAATCTCGTGACAGCAAGACACTTACTCAGACGATATTTGCTATTTTGGATTTCACAGTACATACTATATACATACATTATATCGAAAATATTCTGCGTTCTGTAGATTTTTCGCTAGATATATTAATAAAAATTGGGATAATTAAGTAGTTGGTATTAAAAAAGCTCTCCAAGAGAATTGCTGTATATTTGAAAGTGTCACATACCAAAGACTATCTGGCCACTGGTTCAGAGACTTTTCTACGACGATTTTTACTAGTTGTCAGTCTGGGGCAGACATTGCCTCCATCAAAAGACGTGAGGGTTGGAAGCCTACTTCAGTGATAGAAACTTACATTGAAGACTCTATTGAGAATAAAATTCAGATTTCGAATCGAATCCAAAAATAATTCTTGCTGAACAAGATATGCTTTTGTGAGATGATATTGAGAGCCTCAATTTGTAATTTTCGAACAAAAAAAATTACGGTAGTTGATTAATTTGAGTCGTAAAATTTGTTCAGTTGAAATTATTGTATGAAATTTTTCGTTCTAGCTAATTAAAATGTCTTTTTGACACATAGGAAAGACAGTTAAAAATATATTAAATATAATTTTCAAACATATGGATTTTTTTTAAGGTCTGCTATGATGAGATCCTAGGCAGGCACCTGAAGGCCACAAGAGACATCAAACCCGGAGAAGTCGTCCTTCAGGAACCTCCCCTCATTTGGGGTCCCGCCCAAGTAACAGTACCCGTTTGTCTGGGCTGCGGCAATGCCGTTACAGAGAAGAACAGCCGACCCTGCTTTAAGTGTGGTTGGCCGGTGTGCAACGAAACCTGTGAAAAAGCTCCGGGACATATACCGGAGTGCAGGTATACGGTTTTGCGGGGTGATAGGGTAAGTGTCTATATTTACGTGTTTCAGGAAATTAAAATTTGAATTCAGGTCTACTAAATTAAGAAAAAATGTCCTATGAAAGAATGTAAGGAAACCCTTGGTTTTCGGTGTTGAAATTTGGAAAAAACTAAAAACAGAACATTTTTTAAAAATATCTCTCATTATACAGGGACGGGGATACTGGAGGTATCATTAAAGGCTTCAAAGTTTAATTTTTTTAACTAATTTACATTTATAAGAAAAAAGAACTCCTATGTTTTGAGGTGGATGTGAGAGGGGGCACGCAAATTTTTTCTGGATTACCTTCAGTACAAGTTGCATAATAAAAGTGTAGATCCTTAGGTCTGGGCGAGGTCCGGAACATTTTCAAAATTGCAAAAATGTTTTAAAAATTTTAAAAATTCCTATTTTATCTGAGTTTTTTACTTATATCTTGGAACTAGGCTTGCCAGGTCTCCGGGTTTTGATGGTACATCTCCGGGCTCCGGGTTAATATGTCATTTCTCCGGGTTAAGACGTGTTTTTTTCAGACATCAATTTGTCCATTGGGCTGCTGTAGACCTTTTTTTTTTTAGAGATTGATTCCCTCGTAAACGATTTGACTGAAAATACTGTAAGTTAAAAATGTTTAAGTTTGTAACCGATGTTACAAAAAGCAATAATTTATTAAAAAATGGCAAAATTTTCAAGTTTTTTGGATAATTTTTTTAAAATATTTTAATTGCCTCGAGGACATTCTTATTTTGGTAAAAAAAAACTTTAGAATATAATAACAACATACGAAATTTTTGAAAAAAAATTTCGAATTTTTAAAATGCTGCACTGCCTCGAATAAGGCATCAAAATACTTGAACATTTTTTCACATAGAAAAGACCGCTCAAACTTTCAAATGGTTTTTGAAAAATTGAAATCAGTTGATTAGGACAGTCACAGTAAATTTTTAAAGTTAACACTCTTTTTTTAATTTTTAAACAATTAGATTACATTTATCAATTTGCAATTTAGTGTTTTTTAAAAATTTATTATTTTAAAGTACTATTTTTTCTTAATTTTATCTGTATTTAACAAAAAATTTCCAAATAAAAAAAAATCTTCATTTTTTAAACAAAAAATAATTAAATACTTGTAATAATTATAACTACATATATTTATATTCAGTGTATTGAAATATATACGTAAACAAATTTTTTCATTGGATAAATGCAATAGCATAGGGTAAAATATACAGTATATTTAATGCATAAATAATAAACTTTGTTTATAACAAAATATGTGCAAATTAGATTGGTCCATTAGATAATTCAATTTTTTTCGTACCTTCGCATTTTGAACCTCCGAATTCAGTCTCGCGAAAGCCCCTCCCCACTTTTCGTGTTTTGAGTCACTTTCGCGCGTGCGAGTGACAGCTTTTCTGATGATTTATCTATGTTGCCGATAACTTATGGATATGAACATATTTTTTCAGCTTAGAACTCGGAAAAACGAAGCCACTAGATCAAGGATTATTGCTAAATTGTTTAAAATTAACGGTAAATGCCGATAAACTTTAACCGCTTATATCTCAAGAACCAATAAACGGAATTTAACTTTTTTTTTAAAGGAGCGTCTTTCCGAGTACTTCAAAATTACAATTTTTGAAAAAAAATAAATTGCAAATTGATAAGTGTAATCTAATTGTTTAAAAATAAAAAAAAGTGTTAACTTATGTTAGTGTGGCTGTCCTAATCAACCGATTTTAATTTTTCAAAAACCATTTGAAAGGTCGAGCCGTCTTTTCTATGTGAAAAATTTTTCAGAATTTTTTTAAAAAAATTATTTTGCGAAAACTATCGAACTGATTTTAATAAAATTTGGTGTGTTGTTTTATTATACTCTAAAGTTTTTGTTACTAAAATTAGAATGCTCTCGGAGCAATTAAAATATTTTAAAAAAAAGCAAAAAACTTAATTATTTTTCCTTTTTTTCATCAATTATTGCTATTTGCAACATCGGTAATAAATTTAAACATTTTTAACTTGCAGTATATTATGCAAAATTCAATTTTAAAACTTTTTTCCTGTTCAATATTCTTCCAAAATGCATAGGTTCCAAGATATAAGTAAAAAACTCAGATAAAATAGGTATTTTTTAAAATTTTTAAAAAATTTTTGCAATTTTTGAAAATGTTCCGGACTTCACCCAGATCTTCCAGCAAAAATTAGCTTGCCCCGTCTTACATTCAATAAGTGGGATACTTCGACAGATGGTCATATTTAATATAGAGGGTGTTTATTAAGTACTTGTACAAACTTTAAAGGATGAATCTTTGATTAATTTTAAGATAAAAAGTTTATATGAACATGGGTCCGCAACTGCTTGGTTCTTCAAATACAGAGCGTCCAAAAACAAATTTCTTTGGTATTTTGATTATATTTTTGTTCAATAACATGTCATTTGACGAAATTCGGGAAACTGGAAGTATTGATGATGAGAATCTCAAACATTTACTTAGTTTCTTTATTTAACGTTAGAAGGCGCCACATCGAGTGTTGTACCTGGATGTAAATAACCATAACTATTTTGTATCGCAGTGTATGTCATTTTTGACTAAACATACCTATTTTCCATTCAATTCTATGTACAAAAGGTACTCTTAAAATTTGTCGCTGAAAGCAGCCGTTTTGTTAATAATTGTTTGCCTTCCTCTGTAGCTGTTACAGATATACCATAGGTTCACACCTTGGTCTAACTTTGTTTTCATTATTTATACACGATAATCAGCGTTCCTTTCCACACTCTAAATATTTTCTTTATGCTGATGGTCTAAATATTTAATGTGAATTTTCTAATTTAGATATGATTGTACCAATTTTCAAAAGCACTTGTCTTGCTTATATGCTTATTGTGCAAACTGCTTGTAAATGTAAATAAATGTTACCCTTATTTAAACATTGAATAAAGATAGTAGAGACTTGATTGAAATATTGCCACTTGCTACTTTTTCTTGTCTAACTATATTATGTTAAACAAGATATGTTATTCTGGTTTAAAGACATTCGTTTATTACCGCAGGTTTCTGTGAAAAATTTCGGTGTGGTCCATCCGATATACCAATGCATAACAGTGTTGAGGTGCCTGTACCAAAAGCAATTCCTGCCAGAAGTGTGGAAAAAGCTAGACACACTTCAGTCCCATTGCGAGGAAAGGAAAGGGACCCAAAAATACGAACAGGAAAAAGTCACTATAGCACAGTTCATCTTGAGGTTTTTCAAACTAGCCAACGTTTTTACAGAGGAGGAAATCATGAGAGTCTGTGGAATCGTAATGGTATGCAGAAATTGGCCTTGAAACATCTTTTTGCTTTATGTTATTGGAAATATTATTTTTGTTAATTTGATGTTTTAAAAAGAACTATATCGATTTTTTTAAGATCAACTCCCATGAAGTGCCTCTTACAGAGCCTCCACACGTAGCCATCTACGAATCCACCTCGATGTTTGAGCACAATTGCAGTGCGAACTGCACCAAAAGCTTCACGAATAAAGGAGGAGTCTTGGTAGCGGCTGGAACGCACATAAAAAAAGGGGACAACCTGTGCATCTGCTACACGGATCCTCTCTGGGGAACCTCCAATAGGAGACACCACCTGTATCAGTCAAAGTTTTTCTGGTGTAACTGTAAGAGGTGTCAGGATACGACGGAGTTTGGCACTTTCTTCAGCTCGCTGAAGTGTCAAAACAGGTGAGGTCATACAACTGCCTAGTCCATTAAGCATAGTTTAGATCTACAAAAAATATTCACATGCCAATGTTTTTAAACAAATACCCCATGCAAAACAAAAACATTTGTCTGTAAACAAAACCATATGTTAATGAAGTGTTTTTGTTTGTCCTTGAAAATTTAAGGGTAACCATAAAGAGAAAATATTATTCATTCGGTTTCAATATTCTAAAGAATATACGTGTTTCGAAATGACGCAGTTATAACAATTTTTGGAAGCATATTTTGATAATAAAATTACCATGTAGGTACCTACATTTCATACAGTTATACAAAAAAATGCTTTGTTTAATGTAGAAAAAGAAAGTTTAATATTAATTAATTTCGACAAGACTTCTTTCTTATTTCAGTCCCTGCAATGGCTATCTGCTTCCAAAGACCTTCATCGAGAACAATAACAACGAAAAAGGCTCGGACTGGACCTGCACCAAGTGCACCAACGTCTTTTCGGCTTACTCGGCCCAAGACCTTTTAGAGAGAATTGGAAAAGACCTCTCCGATATGCCTAAGGGAGTCTCCCAGGAATGCAAGAATTTCATAAAAGACTACGAGAGTTTGCTGCACCCTAATCATTTTTATTTGACTGACGTAAGACTGGCTTTGTCGCAAATTATCGGACAAGAGGGGCAAGGTGGTTTGCCGGCAGTTTCGGATGAGGATTTGGAATTGAAGGCGAGATTGTGTCAGGGGTTGGTGAATTTGTTTAAAACTTTGATACCAGGTAAGATCAAGTCACAATAAGTAGTAACTTAAATTGAAAAAAATGTTTCTTCCCCAGTTTTATTGTACTTTATCATTACAATAACTGTTGTGTGTTTGGTATTGAAAATTCAGTGACTTTAAACAATTGATTTGATAGTTTTAAATTTTTTAATATCATAATTTACTATATGGAGCATTCCACGCTAAATCGATCACTTTTAACCCTGACTCCTTTTGATTTGGCTGAAACTTTTTTATTGTCTAATTTATGAAAAAAATAGCTTTTTTTACATAACCATAACTTTTTCGAAAATTGAGTTATCGATCGGGAAGGTTTTTTTCAAAATTTTAGTTTTTAAATGAACTTTTCGAAAAAAAACGAAAATTTGTCGATTACCATTTTTCATTGATTGAAAAAATAGTTTTTTCAAATTTAGCTTATTATAGATATCATTTTGAAAATTTTTGAAAATGTATATAGAATTGAAAAAATTATTCTATGCAGTGATTGATGACAATTTCAAAAAGTCAATTTTACAGTTGACAGTTTTTGTCATTGAAAATGAACTTCATAAAGTAGACATTGTCATGAAATTAGCGTTTTCGTATAAATAAACTAGAAGAACATTATCACTTACATTTTTAATGTTTCTTTTTGTGTCATTCACAAAATGACCGGCCTAGGTTTTCATACCTTTTTTAAACTTTCGTGGTAGTAATTTAGGACTTACTTTTGCTGATTGTAGTAGTATTTTATTGGGAGTTTCATCTAAATAGTCTTCTCAAGAGTAAATTTGTCAAAATGTCAAAAATAATGTCAAAAAGCATTGTTTATCTATGATTGTTTACAATTATTGTAAGTTGTAATAGCAGTTGTGGAAAATGTTTTTTTTTAATTAATTTAATTAATAATAATAATTGTTTTGTTTTCTATAGGTGAAACGCGGGTGAGGGGACTTCTTATGTTCGAATTACATGCCTCCATTGCCGAGATCGGAAGACGGAAAGGTGATCCTGGAGATTTACACACTCTACTCCTGGTAAGTTTATCTTACTCTAACATTACCGTCCAAATAATGTCCAAAAAACCATTAATTGGTGCAAAGCTATAACAAAGTAATTTTTGTGGTTCCAGGAATCAAAAAATGTACTCACCGAAGCTGCGGATCTCCTCAAGCACGAACCAGACTTTATCCCAGAAGGTAAAATCTATAAACAGGCTGTGTCGAACTTGAAAGAGCTGGAGTTTGTGTTGAGAACCGTGCATAAGACTGTGGGAGATTCTCCTATGTAATTATTTCCGATATTACGATTATTGACAGTTCTAATTTTTTTGGATGCTTGTTTTATACGCTTTTGTTACATAACATATTGCGAAATAAATCTGATAGTTTTAACACTGGCTTTTCACTTCCTTAGAAATTCAATGAGTAAACCGACGTAATAAACGTAACCAAGCATTTGGTCAGGTAAAAAGTAAATAAAATTCAATAATAATCTAGTTTTTCCACGGTCGGGAATAGACATCAGTTTCTATGACATCAAAATTAAAACAGAAGTAGTCGATTATTCCCAAGGGAGTATAATGCTCCCAAGGGAGTATAATGCTCCCAAGGGAGTTTACATTATGGAGAACGTTTTTCATGCAAAAAAAAAGATAACATTGAAATTATTTATTGACATTTAAATTAAATGTTACATTTGTACAATTTTCAAAATTAATATTAGAAGGAATATTACTTTCGCTTACATTTACAGTTTTTGTGATTGCGCTAGTAGTGGTACCTACTAAAACCTGATTAGCAATTTTGGTCTTATTTTCAATGGAGTTCTCGACATAACCCTCAGCGACTGTCGTTGATTTCCAACCAGCATGACGCTTTATTGTCGTGATATCCACACCAGCATCTGCCAGTAATGTCGCTGAAGATCTTCGTAAGCAGTGACCAGTATAACATGCAGCATCAGGTAATTTTAAATACGAAGCTACTACACTCGGAATTTTTCCCATGGTATTCTTGCCAACTGGCTGCGAACTACATTTTCCTGCTTTGTAGTACAAAAAAAGGCGCTTATGCTTGACGTGGGGAGGACGAAGGGACAGGTATTTTCGAAACAATTCAAGCATATTTCCCACATCGGTAACCACAAAGGTTCGTGGAATCTTTGTCTTAGTGTTTGGAATTTTTACAATCAAGGAAGAGCCTACATCCTCAATATCATCTACAGTTAAATTGACTAGTTCATCAGTTCGACAAGCTCCGGCAATCCCCAGAATTAATCCAACCTATAAAAAATCAAAATACTTAATAATTGAAATACCTAACAACAAAAGTAATCTTACCTTAATCATTAAGAATTCTTTGTCATCTGCACTTGATAGAAAACGGTCGATTTCACCCTTTGTCAATATTTTCGATTTTTTCGCTTGATATCCGTCACCGGTTCTTTTCAAAAATGCGATCAGCTTGGGGAATTTGCTTATATCTATGTTGTCGTAAATTATCAAGCATGACTTAACCATAGAATATTGCGCCCATAATGTGGAAGACTTGTAATTCTTTGCATTTTCACTGAAGTATGCCAACAAAACATTCTCGCTGTATACTTGAACATTTTTCTCGGCGCACCACTTTTTGAACCGATTGTAGGCTATATCGTATAAAGATCTTGACTTCGTAGGCAGCAAATTGCTTATTGCAATATTTGCAGCCTCCACAATCTCTTCCGACTCACAATTATTCATTGTGCACTAAACAAACTTTAAACTAAACCAAACTAGCACCTTAATTTGACAATTCTTTTTGTTTGTTTATTTTGTAGTTATGACAATAACTCAACGACTACTAAATAAATGCTCAAATCCGAATACAATAATTCTGGTGCTACTTACTTCATAATGACAAAATATGTGTTTTTAAGTTAATGAGACCGTGGAAAAAATAGTATATACCATTCGGGAGAGATGCTATTTTGTCCTCGGTGCATTGTAGCCCTCGGGCTTCAAATTGCACCTCTGCCAAAATAACACATTTCTCTCCCTTATAGTATAATGTACTATTATATCTCTTTATTATGAAGTTTACGTAACATACCTGTAAAGAATTATTCAACATTGTCTGACACTATGAAAGTTTTTACATGAATATTTAAAACACCAATATTGTCTTAATTTTATTCACAACATTAAAATTGTTGTAGAAGAAACTGTGAAGAAACCATTCTGATGAAAATCAAGAGTATTTCTTTTATAATGAGGTGATCATGATGATACAAATTGATAAAAGAGTCATATTTTAAAAATTAAAGGTTAAAATTGATAATTTACCTTTAATTTTTATTTATTGCAAATTAAAAATTTGGCCTAGATTGGTGTCATCTATGAACGAATATCCGAACTTTAAACGAAATAGATTTCGTCTCTATACAGTATATAGTCTCTGTATAGTCATGAAGCGAATTCGTAGATGGCAGCAGCAGCCGTATGATCTAATGTTCCTAGATTTAAATTGTTTCTATTAGAAAATAATGAATTTAACAACATAATTGTTTATCAGAAAACTTTTAGTGGTTGTAGTGACTGCCGAAAATTTTGCATATATTTTTTTTTGTGTTATACATCAACTATTTTAGATAAAACTATTAATATATCAAAAAGCAAATAGTTGTTTCGTTCAAATATTTGTAGGAGCCTCAATATTTTAGGTAAATACTCTTATGGTAACTTTCGTAAAAATTGATATTCACTTCGAATAACCATTCCTGCGCCATCTATTGGATTTTTGTAAACTCCACTAACTGGAAACTTGTAGATTATTGCTTTCATCTTAATCGGTTTCTAAGACAGTTTAAGCTATTGTGCGGTAGAGGGCAGCAGTTGTACTAAGTACATAATGTACGGCTTTAACAGAACATTTTTCAAAATAATTTGTTATTTATTTGCAGAAAATATTTGTTTTCTTTATTATCGATATTAATTTACCAAAAGGTAAAATACAATTAAACCAATTAAAGAATTATATAAATATTAATCTTCAGTTTCCTGGACAAATGTATTTATTACTATTAGACTCGCAAAATTGTCGAGACAGAAACGTAGATGTGAAGCAGTTAACGGGCACATAACCTTTGAAATACATTGTTCAAGAACGACCTTCCTAGCTGCGGCGGTATTATATTTAGCGCGAGTTTAATGAAACACCTGAAGGGGTGAATATGCATGTAGACGGCGGTGAAACATGAAAGCGTAATAGTTATCACGTTGGAGTGTCTGAAATTACTCGAATAGCCATTTCAGACGGTGTTGTTTAAAGTTTTAATTAAAACGGGGACAACGTTCCGGCTCGAAGGACCAAAAAAATAAAAATTAAATTTCGCGTCAGTCAGAGATGTTTCCGAAGGGTTTTTTTAGTTCTCTGTTGAATTGTTGTTATTATTGTTAATGTTTCATTGTTGTTATTATTGTTAAACGTTTTTCTGTGGATTTTATGTTATGATGTATAAATTAACAAAAAATAACTACATATTTTAAATTTTATTATAAAATCAAACTAGTCAAACACAAAATATACCATGCAAATTCTATACTGATTCCAGTAAAGACAGACATTTGAAGCCAGCTTTAAAAAACATGGAAATTTGTAATACCTACTGAGGATTAGTATTAGTAAGACATACGGCAAGTTCTTGGCACTAAATGAATAATATTGTAGGCATAAATAATTTGCTACATCTATGTTAAATGCGTTTTACTATAAAAACATGTTGATTATGCCCGGGTGTTTGTTATTTATATGCCAAATATACAAAAATTCTTTTAATAAAATATGTTTCGACTTGTTCATTTATTATGGGACTTTATGATTTTCCTAAATGAGTGGCCCCAGGACAAAAGGAGGTCCCACAAAGCGCCTACACCGGCCGCATTTGCGGTCGGGGTAGACGACGGATGGGGCCCACCTACGAAGGCTGTCCAGGCCTACACGAGATGAGGCAGGATAAAGAGGGATAATCCCCCTCGATCCCAAATCATTGAGGCCAATTTCTAGCCATAGAATAATGGCGCGCGAAATGAGTGGCAACGTCGCCAACCTGGCAACCCATGTGTTCTAGCTATCTTTTATTAACTCGTTTTATGGGCATAAATTTATGTTCACTGGCTCACTACCGGCAGTTCAGTGAAATCCTTAGTAAATGAAATAAATTATTCAACGATGGAAGGTGTGTCAGGACCGTCACCATCGACAGGTGCAAAAAGGGCGGCCACTCGAACGGTAAGTAAAAAAAAACTATTTTACGTGTATTTCATAGCTTGCAAAGAGATCACCCAGGGCATTGAAAACAAGAATTAACAGATATGTGCTAGGATTATAGAGGAGCTTCAAAGGCAAATGTATATAAAATTCTTAGAGAACAAAAAGTGCATGGAGAAGTACTACCACCAAAACCTAGCGGAAGAAAGAAAATCGAAGTTGACGAAGGACTTTTTTTTATGAAAAATGACTTACCAACATTGCAAATAGTGATGTCAGATGTTAGAGAAAACGACATAATCCCCAAAATGAATAAGGAAGCATTGTGGAAAGTGTTGCATGTTACAAGAGTATTCTTATTGAGAAACAAGAAATAATATGTTGGAGAAGAGAATATCTCAGGAAAATTAAAGAGTTTCGGAAGCAAGGAATGAAAAATTATTATACAGATGAAACATGGGTCAACGAGGTGAAAAAAGTATGGCAGGATGAAAACGTGAAAAATGCATGGCAAGCAGCTATTGAGGGCCTGTCAACGGGCTTAAAAATGCCATCTGGAAAAGGTCGCCGTTTGATAATTACCTATATAGGAAGTGAAGACGGATTTGTGTCAAAAGGTGAATTAATATTTCAATCAAACAAAACGAGAGACTATCACGAAGAGATGAATGCAGAGGTGTACGAGAAGTGGTTTGGACAAATTATTGAAAATTTGGAACCAGGATCTGTCGTCGTTATGGATAATGCCTCTTATCATAGTCGAAAATCCGAATTAACGCCGTAACAGTCATGGAGGAAGGCAAGGATTCAAGAATGGTTACGGGACAAAGGTGTTCCTTATGATGAAACCAGCTTAAAAGCAGAATTGCTTCAGATTGTGAAACTATATGCCCATAAATATAAGAAACTCGCTGTGGATGAATTAGCACTAACCCTGGAATCGCCGTACTAAGATTGCCCCCTATCATTGTGAACTAAACCTAATCGAGTTAATTTGGGCACAAGTTAAAAGGGAAGTGGTTCGAGAAAATAAATCATTTAAATTGACTGATGTTCATCTTAAGAAAGCACTAGAAAACGTTACAGCAGAAGACTGGAGAAAGTGTATTAATCACACTGAAAAAGAGGAAAAGAAAATTTGGGAT